ACAAGAAGCTAAGCCATGGTAAAGTGCTTCTAGTTCTCGGTTGGGGCTTTGGTGGCAACTTTATTTTAGTGTCTGTATATATTTTTTTTTGGAGAAAAGATCTATAGATTAGTTCTTAGAATGTTATTTATTTCTATTTTAGAGATATGGTATGACAATCAATATCTCTACTTTTTGGCGCTGGCTAAAATGTTCTGTGCTTACCTAGTTTTTTCATGAGAGATTAGTGGGATCAACTCTTATAGTACTGAGTTTGATGTATTAAATTAACGTGTACTGATTGAGATTCACATATTTATGTGTGTTTGGTTTACATGAGATATGCTTACTATTATTAGAAATTTTCATAGTTTGGTATAATATTTTAATAATAGGAAAAGGTAAAAAGTAAGAACTATTGAAATGTGTAGCACAGATATACAATCATCTGGGATGTCTAAAAATGGAGAGTTAAAAGATGGTATAGAGTCCATGCTAATAGAAATAAATAAATGAAGGGTATATTTTTGTGATGTGGGACACAATTTAGTTGTTAGTGCACATTTTCTGCAAATTTACTTGTTAATTAGTAGGAAAGCATTGCTTGTGAGTAGTAAAGTTTGATCCAAGTGTCAAATGTGGTATGATTAAGAAAGAACACTTATAAAACTAGCAAAATATTTTTTTACTGGGTCTACTCTCAAGTGCCTGAATCAAGGAAAAGGCCATAAGTGGGGAATGGATTTTTGTACTCTTTGATATTTAGTTAATATAAGTATAATTTAAATGTTCAAAGCTCGTGTGCCATGAATTAGAATATTGAACTGCTAGTAGCAATGAACAAACAGTTGACTTTACTTTTGGTTCTAAGTCTATTAACGTTCAATAGATAACAAATACTCTCCCATTCAGTAAAAAATTAAATAAAAGATTTAACCATTGGTTACAACAAAAGAAGTTGTCTCCACATCAACTGTTAATGTCAAGGGCCAGGGAATAATGGTTTGGCAATTGTGTTATGCTCTATTGTTAGAGGCTAATAATTGAAGGTTAGTCAACTAGTCATCCAGCTGAAATAATAAAGATGGAAGGTTAGGCGGTTGATGTAACGGGACAAAATATATTAAGTTAATCTACTTTGTTTCTAAATTAGATGTAACATTTAGTTATAAAAAATTTTCTTTGCCTATCAGTGGTTTATTATAAATATTACAAAATAGGTTAGATGGAGTACACAATTCTGTGTTGTTAGACTTAATTTGTACGGTCTGCAAATGAACTATGACATTGCATGCGCAAGTGCAGAATCATGGGTGTTTTGCAGTATAAACTTATCCTGGTGCACAGGTGACTTAAGGCGGTCAGTGATCTTGGATAGAAATGGTCAAGGAGAAGTAGTTGATTTTTGTCAGTGTAAAGCGTCTTTGCATTTAAATTTAATATTAGTGGATAATTTATTGAAATTGCATATTTCCACACAGGCAATGTTAAATTATATTTTTCTCATCATCGAGATCAAATCTGATCTGATACCTTTTCAAATTTCCCCTTAAACTTCAGTTCAATTTGAGGTTGCAAATAGTTCTTATAGCACACGGTTTGCTGAAGTTGTTAAATGAAAATCGTTCTAAATGATCTTGATAATTATTGTTCTGAGATACAGATAAGAAGAGACAGATAATCTCCTACTGAATTTTGAAGTGCAGTAGATGTCAGATGTCTACTTATGCTGAATAAGGCTATTTGCTATTTGATATATGTTTACTCTGTTGGATGGGGTGATTTGTTGAGAAATTAGAAAGAATTTTTGTCTGTTGTTTATAAGTTGAGTGAGAAACGGTTAGAAGATAACCGTTACGAATCATTTCATTCTCACCAAATGGGTGAAGATTTGATAAGATGAAATTGTTGTTTGTAAATATTCGGATATGGACCCCTCCAGTTTAGACTGATATAGTGAGAGTTGTTATACTGTATTCAATAGTTACCATAGTGCGTGGATTTACTTGGCATATGGATATTTCAATATGTTGATTGCTATAAAATTGGAAATAATCTTATTTCTCCGCTTTTGGGTGTAGTGTTCTATGGGTCGGTGAGGTTTCAGAAACTACTCAAAAAGTTTGAATGATCAAAGATTGTTGAAGTTTTGGTAAGGAAATTGCTGTGATCTCCTGAGGTTTGGAATTATTCTTCTTCTACTACTATTAATTTATGTCCATACTGTTCCACAATGTGTTAACATACTGCAAAGAAAGTGAAAAGAAATTCTTTAGTGACTGGTTATCAAATATAAAAATGACCATAATGCTGTTCTTACAAAGCTTTATGAATTTAAAACCATTCTATATGTCTTAAGTTTTTTCCGAAATTTTCTGAAAGTTTCATCCAATTTTGAAGCGACTTTAGGTGAATCGTTTTCTACTCCCTAACAAAATTTACAGCAAACTGATGGAACTAGTAGGTTTCTAAGCATTAACATAATGTGAAATTAGAAAATCGGTATTGCTTGAATAATGTGGTCACCCCAATGGTTGTGTTAACTTGAGATCTGCTATTTCTTACCAAATATGATATTTGCACTGATAATTCAACACCGAATACTGGCCACTGATCATTGTGTTATTGCATCTAAACTGAGATAGTATGCTTATTTTTCTTTGATAGAATTTGAACATGGGAACTGTGAGAATTCGTAGACTTGTAATTGATGATTAGCCTTATCGATAATTTGCTCCTTACTTTGGAAGAAAAAAATAAAACCTCTAGCTAGCTGCTTGAGAATTCTGGATTTAATGCTTTTATATGACAGCTTCCTTTAAATGCATAAACTCCAAAATGATTGAAGTTGTTTATTCTTAAAACCATACTAGAATGTAGATTATTACTTAGTTGTGCATGTATAGATAGTAGTTGGTACGCGGAATCGATGACGCAATATATAAATTACGGAAACAGTGTAGGTGTGACAACGATGGTTGCGTAATGGAGAAATACTTCTGATGGAAAAATTTTGCTGCAGTTGAGGTAGTGGTTTCTTTGCACACAATCCATCCACTTTGTATATGAGTTATAATTTTTGTATGTACAGGCAACAAATTGACTCATTGCTCTTTTCAGAACATAGTAGAAGATTGTCCATATGAAAAGAGAATTACAGTAATCACATTAGATGACACAATTCTTTGGAAGGAACTGCAATTTGATGTTTGAGCACAAACAATGGAGTTATCAGCTGGAATCATAGACAGTTAGGCAATGTTATTTAGTCACACAGTGACATCAATTCCTAACTGTTGACCTTTGTTCTAGATTATGTAGATAATTTTAGTTGGAGTTGGGAAATCTTATGTTACCAATTATTTGTTGGAGAGCAGAGCAATGTAATGGAATCAGTGTGGAGAAATACATTATTTAAATTAAATCATGCTTCGGTTTGTTTCCTCACAATCTTACAATTTCTGCAGACACATCAACAATTGTAAATATTATTGCTGTTTAGTGAAGTATTCAATTTTAAAGGATAGTTTGCTTTCTGTTTTCCATGTAGAGAGAGGAGGCATTGTAATTACACATCGCAAAAATAGAAAATTTTAATATTTTTTTTTTTAATTTTGTTGTAGGTTTACTTTTTGCGACGCATATACTGTGAAAAATAAAATTTGATAGTTTAAAATAGAATTGTTACTTATTTTTTGAATACTATTTGGGACGGCATTACACGTCGAAAAAATGAAAAATTTATATTTTTAAATACTTTGTTGCGACGGCACACACCGTCGAAAAACGTGTTTGCCGTTGCAAAAAAAAATTATATAGCGAGGTAATTTTGCTGTATCAAATAGACATTTTTAGCGACGGTAAAATGTGTATAGTGCCGTCGCAAAAAAGTCAAGAAATTTCAAACGTTATTAGCGACTGCACAGTGCCGTCGCAAAAAGGCAAAAAAGCCGTCGCAAAACATTAGCGACGGTACTGTGCCGTCGCAAAAACTCTTTTGCGACCCCTGCATTTGCGACCCCCTCTTGCCGTCGCAAAAAGTTATTTTTCCGTCGCAAAAAGTATTAGCGACAGCATTGGGAGTATTAGCGACGGTATTTTACCGTCGCAAAAAAGTCAATTTTTTTGTAGTGAATTGTGGTAAACATGATGTCTCTAATCGTTTCCATAATCATATTAGCAAAATGTATTTTTTTAAAAATTTCAACACAAAATCATTCATCAATCAGTGACAATTTTGATATTAACAGATTTATTTATTTATTTATTTTTCAGTGATATATTAACAAATCTGTCACATCATTCTATATATATATATTCTACTTTATATATATCATTACTTATGATATTATCAATTAATAAAAAAATTGAGTATATGAACTATAAAACTAATTTTTGTGTGGATAAGGTAACAAAAATGCCAGGGCTCCGTGGCTTACCCAGCAAAATGACTAGAGAAAGTATTGTATAATTGAGATTCAATGTGAATTTCATCATAAAAAAATTAAATTCAGACTGCGCTTCACTTTTGTAATAAAAATTCAGATAACTCTTCTAGATTCTTAAAAAAAAATCATATAACTCTTCCAGATTGCTAGCTTTTCTGATCTAGGCCAACATCATACTAAAAGACAAAGCATTGCCTCCATCAGATCTCACCATCCACAGGGTTCTAGAAGGCCAAATTCAATATATATATGTATATATGAACTATATTCATTATAGATGCGACTCATCTCATTAATTTAAATCTATATCAGATATCTAATTTTCAATGTAAATTTCAGGATGAAAATTTATAATATTTAACATTTTTCTGTTGGTAAAAGATGCCTTTAAAATTTTGTAGGTAATATTGAGATTGCAAAACTTGTACTCCAATAACAATGGAAATAGTAAGCAAAAAATTAACTAAAAATAATCTTAAATTTTGACTTTTATAACAAATTAAATTCCGGGATACAGGGAAGATGCTATGTGCACCGGAAAGAAACAAATAACATAAAAAAGATATGTTCTAATCACCCAAACATTTCAATAGATTTGCTATACCAATTTTTGCGTAATTTGCTATCCTTACAAAGTTGCAACAACTGTTCTACCAACTCATCTATGTCTTCCTCTCCTCTCATTCTTATCTCTTCACTACTGAGTCTGCCATTCATGTCTCTCTTGACCTCCACATACACACCAATCTCCTCCACTAGTCTACTATTTATGGGCTGGTCCAAATGCATGGGCATGACTACAATTAGAACCCCAAACTTTAAACTTTCCATTATAGAATTCCATCCACAGTGACTCACAAAGCCACCAGTGCTTGAATCAGTTAAAATTCTTCCCTGTGGAGCCCAACCCTCCACAACCATTCCTCTCTCTCCTACCCTGCCAAGAAATCCCATTGCCAAAGCCTCTTCAATCTTAGCTTCCTCTCCCATAGGAAACCTAACAACTCATATGAAGTTAACATTGCTAAGCCCTAGACCATGAGCTTTTTCTTCAATCTCTTCCTCGGACATAAAATACTAACTGCCAAAAGAAACAAACACAGTGGAGGACTCATCCTTGCTATCAAGCCACTCCATGATCTGTGTGTGCGTGTTTTCATTAACAATTTCTTGAACAAGTGGACCAACTGGGACAACCTTCCTCCTATCAAGAACTGACAGATAATCGATGTATTTTCCTTCAAGCTCTCTAAACGTGTCGAACAACATAAAGTTGCAAGATGGTTGATCATTTACAGGGCAACTTGTATTCATTAGCAGAAGTCTCAACCATTCGGCGATACGGGATGTCAAGGAATCCTTGAAGGTGAATTTCCAGAAATGGGAATTCAGCACCACCATGGTCAAGGTTCTTAATCATGTGAAGACAAAAAGAAAACACCGTAGCTCCAGTAGTCACGAACTGAACTGCTTTAATATTATAAGAGGATGCAATCATTGGTGTGCATGAGGGCTGAAATGATTAATACGCACGTCTGGGCTTAGTGTGTTGAGGATGCTTGAGACACTTGGGATTGCCATATCAAAGGCTGTTCTGAGGGTGTAATTGAGATGAGTTGGTAGTCCATTGGTGGTGTGGTAGTGAGGAGGAAGCTCAGGCAATGATGGGAGGTGGATTTCGACTAGTGTGATGGAGAGAGAGTACTTCTCAGTGATTCTTTTCTTGATGGACTTGAGATTGATTGGTGTAGAACACAAATATACCAAGAAGTTTTTGTGTGCGAGTTTCTTGGCTAGTTCTAGGAAATGGAGATATGTGACCACGGACCAAAAATGTTGGCATTAGGACATTAATTTTGCTCTGTTTTGTATCCATGATTTCTCTCAGTTTCAGGTTTAACTTCCGTTCTGGTGATTAGTGATCAACACAACACTGTTGATGAGCTCAAAAACATTATATAAATTTTATATAACGATGTTGACGCATGAATACCCCGATGAAAACTAGTAGCCAATGCGTGAACTCAATAATATAAACGCGAGGGACAGAGACAAACAGGCAGGACTCTGGTGTCAGTGCTTGCGTATGGAATTTCGCCGTACACAATTCACTAGACTAGACAAACAGTTTAAATTCAAAGACTTCAGATTGGTATCAGTCATCAATCTAAAAGGAAGAGGAAACAGTTCAGCATTATTGGTATTAGGCAATTTTCTCATGTACACACAACACGGTGGTTGGTTTGTTCATCAAACATAGCTAAAGAAAGAAAGTTTTATTCTTATGGAAAAACTAACATGATTCATAAAATCAAACAAAAGTTGGGGAATTGTTCATTCTCAAAAGCAACTAACCAGTAGGAATTGTTCACTCTCACTGTCAATCATGTTTTAATTTGAACTTAATAAAACAAACACAAATCTTTCTTGTTGGAGAGCAAATAGAGCTTTCAAACCACATCAATCAAATTAAGTACAGGAAGCATAACAACAATTTTTAGGGTTTTATTAAAAAAATTCCTAAATCTTTTTAGGGTTTTATACAAAATTAGTAAATTATAATTCAACATTAGGGTTTTACTTTACATCGTAAATTTAATTTAGGGACATTTACACACAAGTCCTAATTTATGAACTTTATACTTCATTAAATCCTAACTAAGATTTTTTAGACTTTCAAGTCCTATTAAAATTTTAATAATCGGAATTGCTTTTCAAATAATAATTGTTCATCATTTATGATTATCTATAAAGGAACATGATAATTTGACATTTATTTTGATTTTTTCAAAAGTTTAAAACATAAACTTTCAAATTGAAAAAATTAAAAAAAAAAAAAATTATGTGCAAAAAAAAAAACTATTTTTTTAAGCCAACTATCACAATATAGACACGTATAGACACCAACTTCTCGAGTTAAAACATCAACTTTCAAATTGAAAAGTTGGGCTACAAACTTCTCGAGCTACCAAGCATTACCCTTTTCTAAGCCAACTATCACAATATAGACACGTATGCTATAATTTCGGTCAATTTAAACATAATTTTAATTAGTGATAAGTAAATGAAAAAGAGAGCAAAATTACAAGAGGTCAATTTCACTATTTTTAAATGTCCAAGAAAATATAAAACAGTCAAAAAATAATAGCAGTAGTTACAGAGAAAAATTATGAGGTGCTGTAAAAAACAAATACAAAGTGAAAATAATGAATTCGGTTAAATACTTTATACGCTTAAATCGAATATAAAGATCGTACGGTGAATCACATACCTTCAATAACAAACTTGATTCTCCCAGCGATGGAGTCAAGATCACAGTGATGAGTGTTACCCTTGAATCTACAATATAAAGGCTCTTGCTTGTTGTCCAATGACAGAGTTAAAAGCAGAACTCTATCAAGTCTCGTAACTTTGATATAATTATGTAACGTTGATATAATTATATTAACAACTTCGACAATAACGGACATCGTAACATTACATTTTTATCCTCCTTTACAATAATGAAATTATCTTTATATTGATGTATTTTGATTGTAAACCCTGTACTAACTTTCACATCAATAAAATTATTTCTTTTGCTAATCAAAATCACAACAAAATCCTATCCCACTTTCTTTTCTTTATTTATATTCATTTATTTATTGCTTAGAGTCAAAGAAATGAGGGACACTAATGACATGAGGCCTACAGAAGTATTTACTTACTAACACACACGATGAATTGGTAAAGGAAGGCGAGAGGTGGATGAAAGACGCATCCAATTCATGCACAATTGTAACTGCTCCCGTTGCCACTGTGGTATAGCAACAATGATTGAGACCCCCTTTTTTTGAAGACCCACATAAACCCCTTTAGATCTCCACCATTGATGGTGCCCCACATATACATGAGTGGGTCTCACACATACCTCAATAGTTGAGATTCAAAGGGGGTTGTGGGGGTCCCCTAAAAAAGGGGGTTCCAAGCATTTTTCGGTGTTTGCAGCTGCCATTTTAGGACCAGGCGGAAACATTAACGGTCATCCAATTTTTTCCAAACAGAAAGCGTTCATAATCTTCGGCACATCTGATGCATTTGCTCTTTTCTCATCGTTTACCTCTCTATGTTGATGTTCAGTCCATCCTTACTACTCGCTATGCAAAACAAGATTTTCACTATGCCTTACCCAATAAATTAATTATTGGTCTAGCAACGCTATTCGTCTCCATATTATAGCCTTTGGTGCTACACTCTATTTGAAATACAAAATCAGCTAACAATAACAGCACCCCTGTTCCAAAATCAAGCTGGAAGCACCAAATGAAAACTTAGGCCTCGTTTGGCTAGTTAACATTTTAGCCAAAACGTCAAAAAGTTACTAAAAAGGCCAAAAAGCCTATAACCTATACCAAAAAGTCAAAGATTCTCTTTTCTCTCTACTTTTTGCATATATTTTTGTAAAAAGGCAAAAAGTCACCTCAAACATACTAGTTTTTTTTACCTCATATTTTAACCAAAAAACCAAAAAGTTACTAAAATAGTCTATTCCCAAACGAGACCTTAAATGCTAACCCAACAATATCAAGCCTACAACATAAGCACCACAAATAAACAAACAAAGACAAACAACCCACCATCCCCAAGACAATACAAATACTGTGTTAGCACTGGACTAAGAAGCACGGACACAGATACGGATGCGGATGCGGATGCAGATGCGGACACGGACACGGATGCGGACACAGGACACGGCGATTTTAAAAAAATTGGGACACGGACACAGTAGAGACATGGCAATAGAATATGTTTTCATATATTTTTATTTTGTATCTAGATTAATATTACATCCACAAATAACCAATATTAACAAATATAACTCTAATTCTATATATTTAAAAAAAAAACACTTTTAAATTAACACTTACAGTTTATATCTTTTTCTAATGAATGATCTATTAAGTATTTAAATCTAAGAAAAAAATAATAAACATTCACCATTCAATATTCATCAAAAGTACTAAAGAAAATGGGGAAAAAGACAACTTAGCATGTCCCTAGTGTGCTCTCGGTGTGTCCCCTCAAAATAAATTAATTAAATAAAGGGACACATCAAATACGTGTCCCCGAAGTGTCCATGTGTCCAACACAGATACGGCACTTGTTTTGAAGTGTCGGTGCTTCATAGGCGCTGGACCAACCTCAAAACAAAGTGATCAACACTTCGGCGAAGTAGCCACAATCAGAGCCAAAATCACAGCAGTGGCAAAATCCACAAGAAATTTGAACAGTCCTCCAAATCTGATTAATTTCCTGGACCAAGGCTCCTCCTTATCTGCTGAAGACTAAAGACAAACTCATTCACTGAATAGAATCTCCCAAAAGAATTCGTCTTCATCCAGAGTGCCACTCTCACTTTGATAAGCTAACAAATCGAACAAACAACTTTGTGAAAAAGCTAGTGGAGCATATGCTACCGGAAGATCTAGCTCTAGGTGACACCAGATGAAGGACAGCCCTTCACAGGGCTGCAGGAACTGGCAACATTGAGGCAGCCAAACTGTTAGTGAACAAGAACCTGCACCTGCCAAATGCTCAGACCTGTGATAAACGAACTCCTTTGTTTTTTGCAGCTGCTCATGGTCATAGAAAGATGGTTCTTCACTTGTTGAGTGTCACTATTAGATGATGATAATGATGAGACAAAGCCTAAGCCCAGATTCTTGTCTCCTTCTCTGTTCAATGCCAATAACTTATTGCCATATTCTCAAAATCGAAAACTAACGGAGGATGGTACGAGGAAAGGGATAGATGATCTCAGGTGGCAATTGCTCGAAAGCCTTCTTCGTTCTGAAGTGGAACATCCTTCAACTTCTTCAAAAACAAAATCTATCCGTGTTAGTGTATTTGGCCACTTCACTCTCCTCTCTATGCATTACCTATTCTGCAATTTTCTCTATTGATGATTTATTTATTTAATTTTGGGTCAATTACACTTAATGTTTATTTTTATTGAAATCAATACACTTTTTTTAATGTTTTCACATATTTCAAAACACTTTTTACTTTAATTTCAATATAAACAACGCCCCAACAACACTCTTTATCATTTTTCATATAATAACTTTTTTTTTTGGATAAATATTTGTCATATAATAATTTCTCTTTTAGAAACGCTTAAACTCACCTAACTATTTGTTCTGTCTTTTAGGTGTTCTTCTGAAATTGGAAAACATCACAGAGGATAAAAGGAGATGCGATATTGAGAATGCTGCCAACGGCTTCATTTATGGTGTGCCTGACAGTAAAGCATTGAATCTCTAACTTCACTGTAGCCTTTAGACCTTTTTTAGTTATTTTTGAATAACAAGGGGTGAAGTGTTCCAAGGTCTAATTAGATTGGGTAAAGTGAATTTTGCTCTAAAAACTAAACTAACTGCAGTCATGAACTTAATACAAAAAAGTCCAAAAGACTAACCTAGACAAAGCTCTTAACTAGCGTGGTGCTAATACAATTCATGAGTTTTACCTATTTATAGTACTAGTAAATAAGCATCTCTAGCCTCGCACGTGGATGAGAAATAAAACTTCCATATTTTTCTTAAATTCTATGTAATTTTAGGTAAATTTTTACATAATTTATAACCTCTTATCCAAAAATATTATACAATATGTAATATCTATGTGTTGATAGGCCATAATTACAAACAAAACAAAACAAAATCACCAATGATATAGTAAAGATTAGGAATTCGGTGAGTAAGCATAATAATGATTCAAATAGTGTTTGCTACAAATTAAGATGCGTTAATGTTAATTCTCACAAAACAATCAAGCCTTTCACAAGCATAAGTAATTTTCATTTTCACAACTGTTTTTTTAAAGATGCTGCGATTAAACACTATATATAAGAATTGATCGTTTAGTGTGTGATTCAAAGATAATGATGATCATCTTTGTTACCAATTCGATACTACAAAAAGAGAAAATCAGAAGAAACACTAACCTTCTTTGATGGTTGTTGAGGCTGAGAAGCGAAGATGAATGAATCTCAAACACCTCCACCGCCTCAAGAAGCCAATCTACCACCTGCGCCGACAATCGCCGCTCTCCGGGCCGAACTTCCACTGCCACACCGGTCAATTGCGTGATCGATATCGGAGTAGATACTCGATGGTGGTGGGGCTGGTGAAGAAGAGGACGTAGGAGGCGGAGAGGGCGGGCGGACAAGTTATTTGGTGCTCATGTAATAACTAGCGGGCCGGGCACCGATGCTTGTGCCATTTTTTCTTTTTTTTTTAAAAAATATATATATATATATATACTGATAGACAACCAGGGAAATTCTTAATATACATCTTTTTAAAAATTGTGTATTATATATTTTTAGTTATGTTATTTTATTTTTGGAAGTAGGTCTTAATATGTGAACTTATTATTTAATATGTGCTATGATAATTAATAATATTTTTCATTAAACACAATTAAAAAACGTCACAAATTATTAATTTTTAGCGGCAGTTTGAAAATTTTGTCACAAAAAATGTCACTTATTATAAGTTTTAGTTACAATTTTAAAAATCATCACAAAAAAGTCATTAGTTTACAACTTTCAGTAACAGTTTAAAAAATTCATCATAGAAAAATATCAGTAATTGTAAGTTTTAGAGACAATTTATAAAAATCGTAATAAAAAAAGTCACTAATTGTCAATTTTTAGCGACATGCAAAAAATTGTTACAAAAAATTAGTTTTAGCAATGATTTTACTAACACTTATTTTCAATAGAACTTGATGTGAATTAAGCCAAACTATTATGATCTATTGGTAGTTTACCATTATTCTTTAGTTATGACTAATTTTTTTCTTTAATTATGACATTATTTTGATTATGACTCATACATTTTTTTGTTATGACTCATATTGTATTTAGTTATGATATTTTTTTTTTTTAGTTATGATTTAGAAAATTGAAATTATGTCTTTTTTTTTTTTAATTATAATGTGCATATGTTTCCCCTGAATTAGCTCGTCCGAATTGTTCTAATTATGTAAGTCAGGCGACCGACCTGGATGACCAGTGTTACCCTTATCAACTACATTGTAAACCACAGATGTCACTCTTGTCAATTGGCATCCTCCCGGATAACTAGCATGTATAAATTCGGACTAATTGGGCGAGCCCAAATTTAGATGTAACATTGTTGTAAATTATTTTTTCTCAACTAATGTTTTGAAATTCGAACCGATGGTCAAATCAAAAAACAGATTGGACTAAGAGTCACTGGTTCAACCGTTGAGTCAACTAAAATCGAACATTGATGTCATAGTTATATATAAATCTATAAATTTATTAAAAAATATACTTGAAGAAAATTTTAAGTATTAGAAATATATTCATTTAAATTTTTTTTATATTTTAAAATACATATATATTATTACATAAATATATTTATCAAATATAGTTGTTTATATGTGGGGGGGAAAAATTAACTATACTTGTTTGAAAGAAATTGCAAAGGATTTAATAAATAATATATATGTGCATATGATTAAGGCTTTGTTTAGGAAGTGCGTTAACTTTTTAGTAATTTTAGTCTAGGTTAAAATGTCTTGTTTGGATTGAGTTTTTTGGCATGTTTGATTTTTTTGAGAGAAAAAGTGAAATGATTATAATTTGAATGTGACATTTTATCTTATTGACTTTTTAATTTATTTTATTTTTTTAACTATTTTAACCTTAGCCCCATACCAAACGAAGGCTAATAAGAAGTGTTGTCGGTGAGGTGGCAGGCGCTTTTGTTTCACTCTTTGAGGTCTAAAGTTCAGTCTACGTAAGTTTAAAATTTTTTGAAAGTTGACACACGCTTGTGGCTTTGGCTGATTTTCGCTAGACCGATTCTAGCAAAATAAGTCAGTTGAGGCTTTGGCCGATTTTCACGAAACCGATTCTTTCGGATTCTAGCAAAATTAGTCAGTTTTCCACAAAGGGTTGGGTTATTCGGACTGGACCAGACAATTGGTTCATATCAGAACCTGACCGATTCAGTTCAATTTTTAAAACATTGTTCTCAACATCACAAATTCATTAGGTAAACATATAAAAAATTATAAAAATGTGTGTTAAACAGCATTAAAAAGAACAATTACATTCTTGTTTAAGCATATAAACAGAATTTTTTTTACAACTGTTCGACTTTAGTTATTTATAGGAGCTCAATCCAATCCATAGGTCCATTTTAAAGATTTGTAAGCTCATAGATTTAAGTCCATAAGAACAATAACATGTTGATAAGGACAGACGCGCATTTGTTTGCATCTATGCCATTATCTGTTCAGAATAACAATTCTACAAACCAATTTCTCTCACTCACCGTTCGGAAGAAGCTAACTTTTCTAGTTATGGCTTGGAATGGGCTTTGGGATAGCGGCATTGTTTCTCTCTCTACAACAACAATGCTCTCTGTCTTTTCTTCTTGTTGGATCGGAGATGGATGGTTCAGTAGGAGGTGGTGAAGCCGCTGTCATCACCATCTCCAACGACAATGTGAACCGTGGTTCAATGGACCGGTACGACCCTCTGCTGTAGAGAAAGATTGCAAAATCGTCATGGAAAAAGCTTTGTGACAGCAGATCTGATAGTCGGAGGCTGGAGCACGCATCGATCAGAGTCTATTTCACTGTCTCGAGCCTCGCCGAATATACATTCAAGGTCAAGAAGAACGGTTTGAGGAGGTTTCGAATGACGATGCTGTTGCGGAGCATGATCGCCCCTGTTGCTGTGGCATACCATAGTACAACCTATTCTAACCTATATCAATGAAACCCTAGTCTCTCTCCTTAAAGACGCCGGAGCTCTCTGGCTCTAATGGTAGCGATCTGGTCTACCACGACCGCAATATCGGTCAGATTCCAGCGAAGAACACTCCCGATCAGGACTATGTGGGTCAGATTCTGGCACCGTCGGGGATAAACTTGGCGACGGCATTGGCCGCCGAATGCCATTACCGGTCGACACATGATTCGGTTGATAATGGCGGTAATGAACACAGAAGTTGAATAGATAGATTCCAACAGAAGTTGAACACAAAAATTGAAAGAATATTTGAGAGAAACATTTGAACAGAGAGTGGGGAAAATGGAGAGAGAATTTCAACAGATACATTCTAACAGATAGATTTTTTGAACATATATTATCAACAAATAGGTTTTTTTAAGATATAATTTCACAAATAGATTTTTTGAACAGATAGACGTTCTTTTGACCAACAAATGCTCTTCATCACCAAATAACATTTTCCCTTTGATCTAATGCCATGTACCCCCTTTCAATTAGATTTATCACTAATTTTCTCTTATTTATATTGTGTCAGTTGTTTAGTTTTGATTAATTTTTTAAAAATTGAGTTTTTTATTTTCATATTATTTATTTTTAATGAATTTTTTTAATATTTTAAATAATTTTTTACTTTCTAGATGCACCAAACTTAGATGTACTTAAAAATCAAAATATTTATGAAAAAATATTTTAAATATTTAATAAATACACAAGAATACGAAAATCTACTAAATTTTTGTATCTTTTTTCTTTTGTATTTTTTTGTATTTGATAAAAATTTTAAAGACTTTTTTAATAAATATTATACTTTTTAAATGAATGTAGGTTAGGTGCATCTAAAAGATAAAATATTAAAATAATAAAATATTAAAATTTTGTTATTAAAAACAAAAAATATGAAAAATAAAAAAAAAATCCAATTGTTTAAAAGTTGACTCAATTTTCTAAAGCCAAACAAGATCATTAATATTCAGCTGTTTAATTATTACATCATATAACCGTTGATACAAGAAAAGTTCATATATGTTAAAAAAAAAATGAAAAAAAAATGTAAAGAAAATAATAATAACTTGAACACAAGATATAGAGAAAAGAGAAGTGATTGAGACCCACAATCACCAACCCCCACCACCCATTTATTTCCTGTTCTCTGCTCTTTCTTTTTTCGTATGCTTCTCTTCTTCTATCTGATTAAAGGAATGATCCCTCAATATATAGAAAGAAGTTCAATATATGGAAAGAAGTCCAATAGTAAAATTATTATTACAACTACCAAATAGTGAAATTATTAACGATGTCTCCTAGGTCCTGTTTGTTTGGCGGATTAAGTTGAATGAGATTGCTAGTGAGATGATTGTTAGGGAAGAGATTGTTAATATGGGAATTTTTAGTGATGAGATTAAGTAAAAGTGTGTTTGTTTTGATGATAATGTAAGAGATGGTTAGTGATGGGATTGTTAAATTGTTTTTATATTAAAAAAATTAAAACAAACATGTGCACTTGGTCAAAAAAATAAAATAAATTTTGTATATAAAATAGATTCAATCCCCTCACTATTTTTCTAATCCCACCCACAAGAAAGCCACCAAACAAGTTATAATGGGACCCACCTCCTTACTACTCCAATCCCACCCCTTAATCTCCCAAACAAACAAGACCGTAAGGCGTGTTTGATTCGCGGGATAAGGGGGTGGACTATCCACTATTTGGATTGTAATCCAAATAGTGTTCTTTATCCGCCGTTTAAATTTTTTTTAGTCTGCCGGACTCCATGTCTGGCCAAACTCCTTATCCCCCATATGGGGGACTATTGTGTCCTGGGGGGTATGAGATTGTTTTGAGGGGACTAATCACTGTTTGCATTAGATGATGAAATGACCATTTTGACCATCTACTATTTAATTATGTATTATATTTAATAAAATTCAATAAAATTTAAATGTCTCAATTTAAAAATAAAATAATTTTATTTAACTTTTTATTGATGTTTTATTTATTTAAAATTTTTAATTTTTAAAAATAAATTTATTTAATTGTGTAAAAAATAAAATAAAATAAATTTTTATTTAATCTAGCTAAAAATAATTAAAATATTAAAGATATGTTTAATATTGCTATTACTTAGTAAACAATTTAAAAAGGGTAATATAGTCATTTGTTCATTTATCCTATCCAGTCCATCCAACCAAATGTTGGATTTACTAAAAATAGTCATTTCCAGACATCTAAGTCCATGAAAAAACAAACACATGATACATATCCAATCTAATCAAATAGTTCGGGGGATTCACAGCCCTAAAACTCAAGTCCGATGGATTCTAATCCTCCCTTATCCAGTTCGTCCAATCAAACACACCCTAAGATTATACACCTATAAAGGCCATCACCAAAAATGTGTTCAGTCATATTTGTCTCCACATGTTTCATAACA